GTTAGTTGAATGCTCAATGGAATGAGTGATTTCAAAACGTCACCGTTTTCAAAATGTATACTCTTTTACATCCAAAACTGTATTTGATGACACTTTGTAAACACCTCCAAACCAACGCTCTACTGCAACCTCGAAACATTATTTTGATTAGGACATTGCGTTTAATAATGGTGATGTAAGCACGAAGTGTTAAAGCATGCAGTTAAAAGCGGAAAATCTAAATGGATGGCATACATACTTGATGAAGAGAGCTTATTTCATTTGCGTTAGGATGTTTGATAAAATTTTCATTGTAGAATACGATATGACTGAGGTGGGTTTAGTCCAATTCCTGCATTAGGGGAGATGAAAATGATGCGGTTTCCCCAAGATTATCCAGATTACGGGAAATGAAGTGGTATTTCTCGTGTAATTACGTAAAATTGTTGAAAATCAGCTGGAACTTTATGTTTGATGAATGTTATTTTTTCGGCATTCATAGTCTGACAGATGATTGATTATTGAAGTTTTCAGCTGCACCGTTTCATCAATTCAAAAAAAATAGTAAGCCTATTACCAGCTTCATTTCCCTGGGAAATTTTCATGTTTTTCACAAGCATTGATGAGAAATGTCAAATTTATTCATGATAGATGGATGTTAGCCTCTTCTGAAAAAAATTTCGAAGGCTTCTTCTGTACCTTCACATCCGTTGATGATGCAATGTATATATTTGATGGGTGGTAGGCATGTGATTATAGTGGTGATAACAGAAACAATTCTATTTTTGAAGACAGCAAAAGTGCTATTCTCTTAAAAATATTTTTGATAGCATTATTTTCAATATTGCCACTTTGAATCTAATTCGAATCAAGTTTGTTATGCCATGAATTGAATTGAATCATAACTTTCTGAAGTACTTCGTGTTTCATTCAATTATATTTATCCGAAGAAGAGTTTACAATTATGTGTAAATTCCAAATCAGTTGTATCCTTGACTGAAGTAAGCATGTGAAGTTGCAATCTATGGGATTAACAGAAAACTAAATCAAATCATCTAAAGAAACAATTCGTTCAGGCCAGTCTCAACTCCCTGCAATGAAGAGGTTAATGGACTGACACCTATCAGAAAACAACTAGTCCCCTGGCTGATACCAAGAGGGGCGTTGAATTATATTCGAACAGATGTCAGTGCAGGATTTTTCACTGAAGTTGTTCCTGCATATGCTGTTGGCGATACAACTGCTGCAATAGATTTTCAATTATTAGAACACACTTGCAGAACGGTTTCGGGCTGTTTGGCCACTCGTCAGTGCAAGATAGTGTCTATTATCAACATAAATTCGATGATTTCCGATAATTGAAAATCAAATTCCTTCAGAGTATCATTCTTCGAACTATGCTGAAGCATACAACAAACAACAAGTTTGTCGTCGCCCCATCTGCCTGTGAACGAGGTAACCAACCGCATATCCGAAATTTGCACAATTCCTCCTATGAGGAAAGAAACCTGACTATATGTGAAGAAAACTAAAAGCTAACTCAACCTTTCTGAACTCTGGTTGTAGGCTAGTGGCCTGTGCAGTGAAAGCTATGAAAAAATACAGCGATTTCTCATACAGAGGTCCATGTCCAAGCTTGGTTCTGCAAGAGACTGCCGTATGATATAGACAAAATTTGTGTTTTTGTTAATCTCATAGCTGGCATCTTCACAGGGGTTGATTTGGATGCTCATCCATACTCAGGATTTTTCTTTAACGACAGTTTAGTATGAGCATTTATTCATGATTCAGTCTAGTTCCACTGATGGCAGGTGTTTTGAGCTCTGTTACTCTCTTGGGTTCATCATACACCATGAACACTGAAAGACAGATGGTTTCAAAGTTTTCATAACTTCGTTAGCTTGCAGGAAGTGTGACCAACTTCATCTGAGAAGTATTTCCAAAGAAAAAACTCATAACAGTATACAAGCGTACGTTCTGCGTGTTGTTTTTTAGAGAACGCTAAGATTTTGGCGGAAATTTTAGAAGATCAGCGTACATGGAATCTGTATAGGAAGGGGAAGATCTGCATCTCTTATACGATATTATTAGTTAGATTCGAACATAGTTAACAGAGTTATTGTTTTGAATCCGATTCTATAGATTCTGACTATTCAACTGACTGACTATTCAACAGCCTAATCTTCAAATGATCCCTCAAAATTGTTCATGGCAGTCAAGTCCATCTGCCTGAGTATCTGTTTCTGATGAAGTATCCCAAAATGACAATTCAGCTAGTAGATTATCGTTTTCAAATATTGATTTAGTCAGTTTTCACATTTCTCCATCTTACCACAGACGTATTAGTGGAAAAATTTCATCAATTGTTCAAAATTCTGAAAGAGCAATATGAGCATGCTGTAGATAAGGCATAATTATCGTCTTTTCCGAAAAATCAATGCTCTGTCAGAAGACAGATTTTCAGCTGAGTAACTTTCAAAGTATTCCCCCATAAATAAGTATACCAAGAAAATATTGGGTTACCCATAGACTCAACCCCCATATACATTATGCTTTGATTACACAATTGTTCAACTTGAGAGAAAAATCATGTTGAAAAAACACAATCAATCACTTTCTTCAAAGTTAACACCACTATTTTGACTCGGATTGTTGGCATAACCAAAGTTTTGGCAATATACTGAATAAACTAAGAAGTTCTCACTGAAAAACTCTGTCTCTAATGGATTATATTGATTGTTTCAGACCTAACTCGATAGTTTCATTAGAGAACAGTGGTACATGAGTTTTTAATTCACAACCTGATTCCGTTAGGTTTTCAGTACCTGCACAACATTGGTTTTTTTCGATCATAGGTTTTTCACAATTTGATGCATTTGGGTATTGCTACCGTCATGGTGACACAAAACTAAACCCTACCTGTATCACTGTCATTATGGGCAGATCCAAATTGGTTATCCCGCGAGCTCTCTTCATCAATCAACAATCCTGAAGACTTACTCGTTCCAATCGTTCCAGAAGGAGCTTCTTTACACCCGAACCACCAATAGGCTGACGACCTTGGAAAAGCAGGTGTCGTTGCATCTACGGCAAAGGCCCTATCGTTGAACCTAAACAAGAGGAAACAGTCAACACATGTTCGTAGTTGTTTTGATGAAGTTGCTGAGAGTTTGGAATTTACCTATAGTACGCATTATCTTTGAAGAAATAAGTATAACCGTTGGTCCACTGGAAAACTGCATTGAGATTATTTGGAACACCATCCCAGTTGGAAATGGGTTTGGGGTATGTACTCTTGACGGGAGGTCTTTGGGAGGGATCAAACCTCCAAAATTTGCTGCCTTTGAAGAAGTATATTTTTCCGTTTCCGCTCCATACCATAGAGGCATCCAGATCATCAGGAATTCCAGTGAAGCCTTCGGAAATCTCTTTTGGGTATAAACCATCAACTCTCTTGCCCTTGTACCTAGAGAAAATTCAGCCCGTTTATACTTGAAGGTATGGTTGTGTACAATACTCTCACCTCCAGTACTTGGATCCTTTGAAGAAGTAAGTCTTTCCATTCTTGTAAGTGAAAGACGCATCTATATTGCCCGGCAACCCGATCCAATTATCAGAAATCAGTTTTGGGTATCCAGGCGCTACGCTATTTTCGGTGAGTTTCCAGTATTTTTCACCCTTGAACACGTAGGTATATCCTTCCGCTGAATTGAAAATTGTATCGAATTTGGGATCATCGCACAAACTGTGATCTGCTGAACTGGGAGTTTTGCTTGGGACGTCGTGGCTTCCGTCGAACCCACCGTCTTGATCGTCATCATCACCAAATCTTGGTCCAGTTTTCATGGTTTTCTTTCCATAAAGTGCCTGGATACCTTCGATGTCGTCGGTGTCCAAGTCGAAAACTGGGTCATAGCCTCTGTAGAACGGTGCCATGAGTGCCTGTCTGACGTCGGAGTGACTCAGACCGAGAGAATGTCCGAATTCGTGAGCTGCCACTTGGAATAAGTTCGTTCCCTTGTAGCTGTTTATGGACCAAGCTTCAGATGCGTCGAAATGGGCATCACCTCCGAAAACCTGAAAGTCCAGCATATCTTTAGGGATTTGAGTTCAGTGGATAACTTTCTATTACATAAAAACATGAGCTTCAACGGTCGGAGACATGAATTGCAATAAAACAATGGAGGTAGCTGATAGATCTGTTTGGAAAATGTATTAGTTTCTGTATTTTATTTTGCCCATTTTTAAGTTTTCGAAGTATTCTTTCAAATCACTGCTCGATATCTTGCCTCTGACTTTGAATTCTGCAACAGCTCTAGTTGAGACGTAAACATGTCTCAATCAGATAAATCGGTCAGATGTGTTATTAGAATTTCGTATTTCTACTTACTGGAAAGTATGCGTGAGCTAAGGTACCTCCAGGTCCATCGAATGGATCACCATCACCGTGTTCACCGTATTCAAATCTGATTTCGATGTGAACCTGTCCACTTTTTGGGGTGAACGTCAGATCAGTATATCCCGTCCAAACATCGAAAGCCCTTTGAATTTCTTTGTCTACCTCTGCGCGCTTCAGTTTGCTGGGATATTTGGATATCTTGTAAGTGAGGTCTTTCACTTTCCATCTGCTACCTGTTGCAAAATAAGTGATTATTGATCTGTTTATATAATTTCATTTATTGACGTGTGATTTCAGTTTCTACCAATAATGTTTGGAAATGCAGTATATTCACATCTTTCTTTGATCTGTCTAAAAAGATAATTGTTATCAGAATTTTCCGTTGCCCTCTAAAACCAACAGGCCAAAAAGTGTTCCTTGAAGTATACCAACATCTCTTTCAAAATCATTCGCTATGAAATCATCAGTTTCATAACAAATTTGTTTCATTTTGGGATAAATTGAATCCAGTTACTAATTAGACCATGGACATCAAGGTTAATATTTAGATACGAGTAAGATTGATCAGGATATACAACACAAATTCGCCAGCAACTGTCACATTGTTCATATTAATTTATTGCAGACATTGAAAAAACACTTTCATACTTTTGACCAAGTACTAAGTTTGTACGATAATTTTATGACTCATTCACATATATATGAATGACTCATGAAGAGAATTACTTTCTAATGGAAATTATTTACTGTTGTAGGAATTTATTAGGAATAGTCGAAGTTGAACAATACTGAATTGCAAATAAGGTTGACTAAATGAATATAATTTCTTGTAATTATGATATCGATTCCCAACAGAATATCACTGAATCGGTAATAACTTTATTTTTACGGAGTTTATGTTTTAATTTATTAATCAAATGAGTTTTATTTCGCTATTTTCATAATAAGCTCTTTGTCACTGACTACTTGAAAACTAGAAACGAAAAATGAACAAGAAATTATATAGTCAAAACAAATCGAGATTATTTTGATAGTCCTGGGAAATATTTGTCCCCCAATCGTAATGATAGTATTTTTTTTGTATGGTTTTTTATTAATTAGAGACCCAACACGTCTCCACAAAGTGGCAGAGCGTATATGCCCACTCTATTTTTCAGTCCTAGTATCTCACCCGCATGTATAACTAATAATAATGACCTTCGATAAAATTCAAACCAAAGTATTTTCCACATTGTTCATTTCAATTTCGAAATAGGTACCTTGTTACCAAAAGACACCCAACAAAAATGCGACTCCAACCTTCAAGGTGATTCACTACGTAAAAAGACCAACGCAATCGCAACTTTTCTTCATCATGCGTGCCGCGTCGGTTTATGAAGCCCCTTGAATTCATTTTATCCTACAATTGTTTTAATTCTGTAACAACACCCGAGACATTTTGCGATAACTCCCAAGACAAACCCCCCCTGAAAAGAATTCAGATTATATGGTGAAAAGAGCAATTCTAATGTGCATGGAGTGCTTGAAATGACTAAGTATTTGATTTCATAGTGCCTGATATCGTATCCGTTTAAATAGCTCTCCAATTACCATATTATATGTGTTCATTATTTCAAACATAAAAAAATATCCTTGGAAGATAGACATATGCCATCGCGGATTTTTTTGCAGCCTATAAAAAGAGAACAATATGTAATGGATTATTTTGTTTTATTACAAAGAATTCCCGCAGTGTTTTCGACGAAAGTTCTCCGGCTTTAAACTGGTAGCATCATCGCCCCGACTTTGCAAGAATAACATGTTCAAAGTTCAACTTTCCTCTTCAGTCAGTCACTGTGGAAAACTGTATGAAAGCCCATTCCGCAGTTTATGAGTGATATGAAGTGATAGTAATAAGAGCCCGTTGTTTAGACGTTTACTTCAATTTCAACTTTGGATACCACATTCTGGTCATGTAGTTTATTTCGATTCAACAATTTTTAACGCTATCGAACCTGTATGAAAAATCGTATCGGTGATTTGTTCTTGGAGGAAATAAAGTTCGGTTACTGCATTGAAATTATTGTTTCACTCCAGGAATCATGCTCCACCAAGTTTTTTGAATGAAATAATCGGTCATTCTGCTGGACTTTTTAAACTCACGTTTCAATCTCCGGTATACTTTCTGTATACACTGTAAAACCATTTCAATCAATAGTTGTGGGAAGCCTGTGAATTATTTTTGTTTTCGCTTTTGATGTAATCTCTAGTCAAATCTACAGAAGAATTTTCAAAAATATTTCAGTGGCAATATCATAAACTTGTGTATTGAAAAAAAATCCGATCTCAGAAAAAATCTCTCTAAGCAGTTGTTAACTCGCAGGAGTTTTCAGACCTTAGAAAACTTAGCATTCCGCCATGTTTGTCAGAAATAATTGAAAACAGTTCCAGCTCGCAAATCAACAATTTCTCGTATCAACAAATCATTTTGCAGTATCTCGAACCGATAATTATAAACAAATCTTTGAACGTTTTCGATAATTGGATAAGTAGAATCTAACAGCAGTAACTATTTATTCTTGATTGCTTCAATATATTCGATATTATCAATCACAATTTACTGTCATTACAAAATTTGTGAGAGCGCGTGTCACAGAGAGAATACAAAAAATAGTTTTGAATAAAACATATTGAAATGATTTACAGATGAATCAGTGTGCCACAAGGAAGTATTCTAGGCCCTCTGATTTCAATTATGTATACAGCTGACATTATCACCATTTGAGGTTGAAACTGAAACTAAATCCCTTTAAGTTATCCGTAATCTGAGATAAGAGCACGATCTAACTCCATTCATCCAAGTCGAAATGAATAGTAAATGCCACTCTCAAAGTGAGAAACTCGTTTTGATTCAGACAGTTGCAACATTTGGGAAACATATATATCAGATTAGTTCAGTACACACTGCGGTAGAATCCAAGAAACAAATTTACTCATGACATATTTCTTCCTATTATCAGTACCTACGAAGTATGTTGAGAAAATAAGGTGAATTTTCATTTTTCTCAAAAAATACTCGAAGCAGTCTTTGGTATCTCTCAGCGAATCAATTTTTATCTCCTCAATAGTCGCAAAACGCCGTTCTTTCATGGGTCTCTTTAATCTCAGGAACAGAAAAAAGTCGTAAGGGGGCAAATCTGGTGAATACGGTGACTGAGGTATGATTACGGTGTTGTTTTTGACCAAAATTATACGAACAAGCAATGACGAGTGACCAGATGCATTTTTGTGATGGCAAAAGCCATGAATTGTTTTTCCACGATACCGGACGTAAACCAAAAAAACAGTGAGCAAAAACTTGACATTTGATCGAACTTGGCGTGCTATTTTTGGTCTTGGCTATCCTGGGCTCTGCTATTGGGACGACTGGACTTTGGTTTCGATGTCATAACCATATACCTACGATTCGTCATCAGTTACGACCCTTTTAAGCAAATTTGGATCGTCGTTGACGTCATTGTAGAATTCCGGAGCGATGCTCATGCGACGATTTTTTTGGTCAGATTTTAGCAACTTTCCAACGAACTTCACTGCCACACACTCCATACCCAAAACTTCCGAAAAAAATCCATGACATGAGCCAACCGATATGCAAACTCCCCATCAACTTCTCTAATAATAGTGACTCGAGGATTCTTCATAACAATTTTCTTCACTTTCTTAAGATTCTGATCGGTTATTGATGTGCTGGGGCGTCCATTCACATCTTCTCGACCTTCTGTTAAAAGCTTTCACCACTTGTAAACATTTTTCTGACTCGGAGTACAATCACCATATGCCACTGTCAACATTTCGAATGTTTTTGAGCGCAAAAAAAATTGTCCGATGGTGATTTTCAACACATCAAATCAAAGGGGTAAGGAATGCCGATGTGGTCCTCGTATAGGTACACGGATTGGTTCTGGATTTGCTCCCCGGTTTGGCCCTCCAGTTGGTTTTCGAATTGGTCATCGAATTGGTCTTTGAATAGGTCCTCAACTTGGTTCAGATGATATGGAGACGGATTGTGACGTAAAGCACATCAAATGAAGGGATAATAAATTTGATAAAAACAAAGATGACGGCATATCAAGAGAGCATCAGGCATGCGCATGATATAAGGATTTTGGAATTTATACCACCAATAAACTGAATCTGATGAACAATAATAATAATAATGTTCATTTCATAAGATTGAATACATTTACATATAAACAAAAAAAATGCAGAATTAAACATGGCAAGCCACTTGAAGCTCATAGAGCTTGTGTATGACAAAAAAATGAAGAACATGAAGAAATGAAGAACAGCTGAAACTATGAACATATGTTCCAAACGAGTGTACCAAAATGAAAAAATTGAAAAGTTGCTGATTGAAAATTCACCTTATTTTTTGAATATTCTTTGTTGAATTCAATATGAAGGTGACTGATAAAATGCATTACCTGAATTCTAGTATAATGCTGGTGACCTTAACTTATGTTTCATTGGAAAATTATAATATCAATAAATTGCAAAACGCTAAACAATATCTGTTGTTGCATCGACAAATAAAATTGCATATTTCGATATATAATTCCAATCAATTGTTGTTCATTTTATTTTCCACTTAAAAATAACCTTGTGAAGTTGATTAGGATATACAGAGGGAGAGCAATAAAAGATTGAAGCTCGGTATAACCATAAGAATAAGTTAACAGCTTGCATGTTTGCAGGCTAATGCCTCAGGCTTGTGCTTGACGAAGAAATGGCTCATATTCAAGTTCATTTTGTGCAATCTATTTCTCAGTTGAGAAATAAGTTTTATAGCTGTCTAATACTCCAATAGTCGGTACAGAAATTAGAAATTGACAGATGTCAATGAAGAATCTTCAACTCGAAATGTATGCCGGATTATGTGACAAAAACAAAGTGTCAAATAGATGGGAAGTTCTTAGTTGTCATGTTTTACTATGGTCAAACTGGAAGAACATTCAGAGCACGCATAAAAGAACACAGTATCAGTTTACATAATGGGAAAAGCAATTAAAAGCTATTACTTTTATAGTGGAAATCTTATAGTGAACTATATAAGTGAGTTCTTATATCTGTTTCAATTTTCAAAAGGTTATTTAATGTACAAATTGGGAAAGAAAATCTATGTATAATTGAATATCCGTAGGGAGGATATGAAATGCTGTGTATGATCTGAACACTACCTTAGAGGGTTTTTCCTCAAAAAGTGGGGCCGAATAATGAAATATATATTGAATAGTGGCAAATATACATACCCGTTACTTCTAGACCTGCGAAAGCTTGGAAATCTTCGATCGCTTTCCTGTACGTTTTCTCGTCCATGAGATGGCTGGAGTTACCTTTGGAAGGTGCTAGGTAGCCAAACTGGGAAAGATATAACTGAAAAAAAAACAAAAATTTCTCAAGATTTTGTCGAAGACCTTTCAATAGTTCATTACTCTAATATTGGCTAATGAATAAAGATATATGGAATGATTCATTTGCATGTGTACAACTTATGTTACTTTCATAGTTCGAAGTGAATCAATAATTATTAATAAATGCAATATCTACTTGAAGAATTCTACAACATTACTACCATTACCTGTTTTATTGCTATATTATCGGTAGTAGCGTTTATTTCAATACAGACTTGACCGCCAATTTCCGCTATTTGTGAATCTGCATTCACCAATAAAGACAAGTACCTAAATGTTAAGTTGACTTGCAAATGATCCGCCCACAACCTTTTGCTGCGGTCATTTGGTATTGATAACGTAATAAATGGCGCATCTCAACTAGAATTATCATAATTGTGACTTATGTATTTTGAAGAGGCATTTACTTATCGATTTGTCTATTTAAGAAGGATTTTTTAAACCACTGTATTTCAGTCATAAATTAATATTATAGTTCAACGCAACACCTCCAGCTTCATTTCGTATTGGATCAAAGATCTTATTAAAAAAATTTATTTCAACATTAACGAACTCGACATCAACTCAATACAAAGTGTTTTCGTTTCACTTCATTTTTTTTTCGTTTCGGTCAATTTATAAATTGGAGTACACTTTCAGTGTTCATATAAAAGTATTTGTTTCGAAAGAAATTTTTTTTTGTGTAATTCAATGTTTATATGAAAGAAGTTGTTTTAGGAAGGCTTTTTCTTCCAGTTTGTGTCTGAAAGTTACTTCTTTGCATGATCTTCACATAGAGTTATTTCTTTTGAAATTGATTGCTTCCAGCCTTTCTTTGGAAGATTCCCACTTTTTTGTACAAGATGGAGTAGTAGAAAGTCAAAAACTTTCTTTCCCAAAAATCCTTAAAATATAACCATTTCAATTCAAACTGTCAGATACATATCTATAATGTCGAGTAGAGAAAGATAGAAGGAAAGATTATCAAATCTTTGAAAGTACGACCACTTGCATCCGCCATAAATTCCCCTACTTTCACAATTACTATCTAACCGAATAGTTATAACTGAAGATGTAAATTTGCAAGATGAAGGGATTTTATAATTGTATCATTTGATATATCCTGCTTGTGTCTCTATATCATTACGTTTACCCATGGGTTTATTAATTTCCAGATAAAACGTAGTTATTTTTTTTTTGTTTAAGTACGGTCGGTTTAGTTACCAACTCGAAACATTCAACAGGGCCGTGGATCAAAGATTTCTTATCAAATTGGCTGGGTTTTATTATAAAAATCACTAAAATATACAAGAGATAACTATAAGATTCAATTCGTGATAAATCACGATAAAGAAAAACTTAAAGGTCACTTATTCTTAATGTTCTACTTAACGATGTAATGAGCCGATTCTTGCAAGGACTTCGGTTGGAAGAATTGAATGTGAACAGGCAACACATCAATCATTCGATTCTTCTCAACTATGAATAAGGTTCCTAGTATAACGTAAAATATAGGCATCGGTTTGTCCTTAATTAATTGACTTCACCCCAAAAATGATCTTTCAATTTTTATGTTTATTGCTTCCGTAACGATTGTTTCAAAAAAAAAGAAAATCCTCTACGAGGTACTTATCCTCGTCGATTCTACTATCAGTCCGTTGCATATAATCACCAGGTGAAAAGGTGGAGCAATACCAAATTCTAAGTAGCCGCAATACTTCAGGAAGTAAAACAGGCTGAAACTTCCCTCTGGATACACAACGTCTAAAATTATGAGCAATTCAAGGTATTTTCAAAATTTATGTTTCTAAAAGAAAATGTCGAACGCTCACCTCCTTGTGTCGAAATCCCTAGCACAACAGAAGACATTTCGAAATCAATTCCATTCAACCCCTAACAGCCTTTGAAACGTAAATCCACACTTTTGCAAAAATCAACCAATGATAGTTCAAAAAACATACACTAGGCAGATATCTTCACGATTTTCTTCAGGAATCGCTACCTAATTTACGTCGTTTCGAATCAGTACCGAGCCCAAGAGCTTTTGTCGCATAGAAAAGAAATTTATGAAGAAGTGACTACTTTTATAGGGTGTTTAAAGGGTGTTCGTGATACAGAAAATATATTGAATTGAAGTTGAATCGATGCAACGAATTAATTAAAAAAAAATATCGTAACAATATCACAAACTATTGAATATTTGAGGAGTCTTCTGGGGGTCAATGGTCTCAGTGGAGAAGTAACAAAGACAGCATACAATTGACAACAATCTGCATGAAACAGAATAGCTTTCAGTTTAACAACTTTTTCTAGAGACAGCGTGGAAGTACGGCAAAGCAATACCTACTGTTCCCTCTCTGTTCATGAGCATATTCGAATTGGAAGCAAAAGATAAGTTGAATTACTCTCCACGTACTTGAAACCGATATACTTGTGATTTTTGGCACAACAAAATCTGAAGTAGAGGACTTTGTTTCACCTCTCAACAACAGATCTCCGATCATTAGGTTTACGTATGATATTGAAAAAAACGAGGAGTTACCATTCTTGGAGGTTTTAGTGATGAGAAGTAACTAGGGTCTAGAATGTGATGTCATCAGGAAAAATATCAATTCTTTCAGATACGTTCCTGATAGTTCACTATTGTCTCCAACACAAAATGACAGGACTAAAATTTCTTGTCACATTCCCAATGAGCAAAAAAACGAAAGCAAAAAAAAGTAAGGTAAGTTAATTAGAAAACGTAAATTATAATTCGAAATCCATTGTAAGATGTACTAACAACCTATATCGAATTTTCAAAAAGTAGCCTTCAAATCCTCCTGCATATTTCCATCAAATTTTGGGTGAATCTAAAGACAAATTGTTGGATAATCAATGGTTGGGAATATATGGAGTAAGCTGTGAATACTGTTATAAAAATACATAGTTCAGACTGAGCGAACTGTTGAAACTCGTTTCAAACAACACGTAGCAAATATCAGATTTCAGAGAACAGAAAAAAACTAATGTAAATCAACACGCGTTGAAGAACGGCCATGACACTAGATTTTGGATGTTTTCGAAGGTATGGAAGGTATGGAACTAGTAAAGTGTGGCACGAGAACTATGATGAGTGACAAAGTCCCATTTCAAACAGTCCATTATTTATTGGTATATGAATCGCTCTGTTTGAAAACATCGGAAACTCCCACGAGAAATTTTCCCATGAATTTTTCCCCGAAATCATTGATGTATGTCTAAAAGTGATAGTGTATTCTGTCAGATATAGATAGAGTCCAGTTTCAGAGTCAGGAATCAGTGTACGTTATCTCCTGAAGATGTCAATTTGGTTGGCGAACCGCGCGTCGAGAAGAGTGTTTCAGTTCTAGGGCTTGAGGACATTGCTTGTTTTGGATTTATTCTCCAGTGGCCCCTTCCATATCAGGATTGAATGGTGATGTCCGGAAGGGGAGGGGGTATTACCACCATGAAGAGTAAATATATAAAAAAAATATTTCAACTATTACAAGAATATTTCATAATTCTATATCCATTCAAACCCAATATAAAGAACATCTACACAAAATTACAGAACTACCTGAATGTTCGTCATCAAAATCAAAAAGTATTTCATGATATATTGTCATTCAACTTTGTAATTGTTAACTCGGCATTCCGCAAAATATCGAGGAAGAGAAAGTAAATTATTTTCCAGGCAAAATTGTCGAAGTAGATCTCCCATAGTAACATTGACCTTGACCACTTCAGCAAATTAATAAGACAATAATAATGAAGTGAGTCACTCAGGTGAACTACAGTTTAGTCATAGGTTTTCTCAGAAAACAAATTTTTTTTCACGTGAATTGAAGCGTGGGCAAATTCATTCATGTCTTGAGTCACTGTTACTACTGAGCGGCGCATAGATATTGACGCCTACGTTTTATTAGGAATTGATAAATTCCAACAGGTGTTGAAATGTTCGACGAAAGTATCAAAGAAAGCCTGATTGATAATATACAAGTAGAAATTCATAAATGTTCTTCATATTTTTTTACTAGGTAAGTCTGACAAGAAATGGGAAAATTTTACCACACCGGTATCTACTACTACTATTACTACATGTTTTCACAGCCGTCTCTGAGACTCAAATGTAGGTCTAGTATTATTGTTATTATGAAAGTTTCCATATGAACCTCCTTAGGAAAGTTTTTGTAAAAAAATAATCTACAAAAATTCAAATTTACCAACACTTTTAGGCTCTAGACATGGTTTTATATATATTTTGTCGAGTTATGTATATATGTCTCATAATCACCACAGTTGTCACCAAATTATCCAGTTGTAGTTTAATATACAGGGTGTTTCAAAAAGGTAGTCTGAACCACATAGTCTGGGATCAAAACTAACTCGATTAGAATCACCTTACATTATGTGCACACACAAAAAATTACACATCAAGCATTGTAACAGATAGTTCAGTTTTTGAAAGGAAGCTTCAATATACATCATGTAATTGTTGAAGCAACTGTTTTTTTAGTTATCCATAGGAACTATAAGTGATGAACAGCCAACTACTGAATGAAAAAGCATCTCCATAAACACTGGCTTCTCGAAAAAGT